CCGTAACAAATAACTACGAAGATAAATCTTTTAGTATATAGTTTTGTACAAGTCTGGTATGAGTCTCACTGGGCTAGGAATGAGGGTGTTGGCCAGGCTGCCTTCCCTTCTGGAGGTTCTTTGGGAGAATCCATTTCCTTGCCTTTTCCAAGCTTCTAGAGGCTGCCTACATTGCCTTACTCATGGATCTCTCCCCGTGTCTTCAAAGCCACACAGAATTTCTTTGATCCTTCTGCAGTAGTGATATCTGAATGAAGTCCCGAAAGGTTTTCTTCTTTTAATGACTCACATGATTTCACTAGGCCCACTCAGATAATCTAAAATAACCTTCCCATCTTAAGGTCCTTAACCTTAATCACATCTGCAAAATTCATTTGACCATGTAAGGTAACACATTCACAAGTTCTAGGGATTAGAATTCAGCCATCTATGGGATGCCTACCACAGTTGTCTATGTTGATTCCAAATGGAAAAAGGTGAAAACACTGGTTCTGTCTATAAATGCTGCCAAATGTAGTGTCAAGCCTGCAATGTCAAGCCTTGGTTGATTATTTAAATGACTGCTATCATACTTGTTAGGGGTCGTCTTGCCATGAATGGATATCCTTTTTTTTTTCTTTTTCTATTTGTTTGTTTGCCTGTTACTAATACCATTTCAAAGTAGTGAATGCTCATCATTAGTTGCACACATAAAACAATTATAGATACTTTGAGAACATTTCTTGAACTTAGGAAATACTGGAAGGAGAGATCATAGACAGTTGGTGGAACAGGACCTCAACATTAGGTAGACATTTAAAAGGACTGGTGGTTTTTTTTTGTTTTTGTTTTTGTTTTTTTTTTTGAGACAGAGTCTTGCTCTGTTTCCCAAGCTGGAGTGCAGTGGCGCAATCTCGGCTCACTGCAAGCTCTGCCTCCCGGGTTCACACCATTCTCCTGCCTCAGCCTCCTGAGTAGCTGGGCCTACAGGCACCCGCCACCACACCCAGCTAATTTTTTTTGTTGTTGTATTTTCAGTAGAGACGGGGTTTCACCATGTTAGCCAGGATGGTCTTAATCTCCTGTCCTTGTGATCTGCCCGCCTCGGCCTCCCAAAATGCTGGGATTGCAGGCATGAGCCACCGTGCCCGACCTGGACTGGTGGTTCTTAGCACATTTTCCAAGTACACCCTTATTTACAGGATGTTTCAATTCTGGTAACTCTTAGTGACTTTTTGTTCTTTTAATTAAAAGTACATACTGAAGAGATTTTTTTTTTCTTTTGAAACGGAGTTTCACTCTTGTTGCCCAGACTGGAGTGCAATGGTGCAATCTTGGCTCACTGCAGCCTCCACCTCCCAGGTTCAAGCGATTCTCCTGCCTCAACCTCTTAAGTAGCTGGGATTACAGGCATGCGCCACCTCACCCAGCTAATTTTGTATTTTTAGTAGAGATGGGGTTTCACCATGTTGATCAGGCTGGTCTCGAACTTCTGACCTCAGGTGATCCGCCTGCCTTGGCCTCCCAAAGTGCTGGGATTACAAGCGTGAGCCACTTCGCCCAGCCCTGAAGATGTTTTTAAATTTCTTTCTCCAGTAAGAAAAATTTCAAACTTCTGTATCCCATTCAGTATTCCCTAAAATAAAATCAAGTTTGTCCTGAAATATGGTTTTAAAAACTGAAAATCTCTTTTCTTTCATTACCTCATAAATAACAAGAGTTTCATATCAGCTCTCCTGTCTCTTCCTCCTCCACCCTTTTCCTCTCTTTCATGTTGTGCCAGTCACACAGGTGGATGCTCAGTATCACCCCACAGCATAAGATAAATAAGCTTGGAAGGTTTCCTAGCAACATATTGTTCTGGGAACCTGCTCTGTTTCCCTGAACAAGATGAAGCCAAATATCCTAGAATCTCAGCCAGATGGGAAAGGATTAGCTTATTGAGAGTGTTATTGCCTTTTTTTTTTTTAATATTTCACTTTGAAATGAACCTCTTAATATAAGTAGTAAAAGTGACTTTTAAAAGGGCACATAAAAATATCTTTTTAAAAGAACATTTTTTTCTCTTACATATATAAAAAAATTGATAATAGTTTGAAGTTTAAAAATATGGTTTCAGAATTATCTAAGCACAAGCTTCCAGTATGTAATTCAGTCACTGGTGAGTGGATCCATTTTAGAACCATGTAGAAAATACTTCCACATGGGACTAATACTCAGCCTGGTGTCCAGTGGTATGGTATTCCTGCTGTAAAAATACTGAAATACTTCTGATCTGGTGGGAAAATGGCTCCAGGAGTAGGCTGTCTCCTCACAATACCTTCAGCTGCTCCCCTTGGCCCTTGCATCTGGACCTAGGGAAACATTGGAGACACCTTGTCACTCCTTAAAACCCTGAAGCTTCCCCTTTTTCTATAACTCCAGGACTATTTTAGTACTAGTGATTTACAACTTCATCTTCAGAGTCTATTTTTGGTTTTCTCAGTGTATGATTAAAGTATATAGAGAAAATAAAACTGAAAGAAATTGAGACTGCTATCAAAGCCAAGAAAAATAATGTCATTGTTGTTTTGTTAACACATGATCGTGTATATTTCCCTTGTTTATCTAATGATCTGTGAGGCTACACAGTTGGCAGCTGGTGCTTTCCTTTCTGTTGCACTCTAGTTGGTCACAGTATACTTGTTAGAGGTCTCTGGAGATGGAGTAATAAAGGATTCTTGTTTCTCATAACAGTATTCAGCAGTGGCTTTGCAATTCAGTTTCACCCTGGGAAATGTCCTCACTCATTGTTTGGCTGGGGAGACATTCCCCCATCAGCCAGATGACTATTCTCATAATGTGGTTGTTGACTGGTTTGTGTCATCTATCAGGTTTGGACTGAGTTTGTGAAACTTCCCAATTGTGGTCGGAAGCTGATAATTCTAGTACTTCATAGTGTTCCTGGATAGGAAAAACAAAGTAATTAGAATAAGATGGGAATGACACCTGGTGTCTTTGTTTTTATGTAACAAATTATTTGGCCAGATGCCAGAGAATTAATGCTGTCCTCATTTTAATGAAAATAAGGAAATTGTGAGATAATTTTATATTCATGCTAGGTGCTTTCCATTCTCTTTTGCTCTCTCACTCATATGTATATGTTTTCTAAATACCATATTTTAAACTCAACAAGGAACAATCTGTTGAGGGCCTAGTATGAGCCAAATACCACTGGGTATTATGGCAGATACTGAGGGCAACACATCATCCTTTCCTTCTCAGAATCCGCAAGAAGTTTGCAACATAGCACGTTTGTAATCTTAAACCAAACAAAAACATTAAGGAAAGGTTTTGATGTTTAAAGGAATCATGGGCTAGGCACAGTGGCTCATGCCTGTAATCCCAGTGCTTTGGGAGGCTGAGGAAGGAGGATCACTTCAGCCCAGGTGTTTGAGACCAGCCTCGGCAACATAGCCAGACCCCATCTCTACAAAAGTTAAAATAAAATAAATAAGTAAAGGAATTCTATAACTTTGTTCAAAGAAAGACTAAAAGTATATTTAATATATATTGTGGAACAGAATAAGTTCTAATACCTTAATTTTGATTGAATACTTATTTTTAAAAAAATTTTAAAATGTCCATGAACCAGGCATTGTTTTAGATACCTCTCTGTTAACTCATTTAATTCTCCTGACACCATTATGAGGTAGAAATTTTATTTACCTGCTATTTTATAGACGAAGAAACTGAGGCTAGGAGAGTTTTGTTTGTTTGTTTGTTTTAAAAGACTGAGTCTCATTCTGTTGCCCAGGCTAGAGTAAGTGGCCGTCATAGTGCAGTGCAGCCTGGAACTTGTCCACTCAAGCAATTCTTCCATCTCAACCTCCCAAGTAGCTGGGACTACAGATGTGCACCACTGTCCCCTAAGAGAGGTTAAATATCTGTTTATTGAGGGCTTTTATACTATGTCGTGCTTATTTGTTTATTTTTAAAATTTGAAGAGTCCATAGGATTCTAGTCTTTTTTCAGAAAAGAGTAAACTACTGTCTTTTGTGAATGACATAATTTTCGCAAGAAATAAATGAGTTGTTTAGATGACTTTCTATTATCTCATACAGCACAATGATTCTGTATTTGAGTTTTCATTGTCAAACAGTAAAACCTTTCAGTATACTAACTCCATTTTAGAATATTTTTCTTTTTCTTTCTTTCTTTCTTTCTTTTTTTTTTTTTTTTTTTTTTTTTTTGAGACTGAGTCTCGCTCTATCACCCAGGCTGGACTGCAGTGGTGCAATCTTGGTTCACCACAACCTCAGCCTCCTAGGTTCAAGCAATTCTCATGCCTCAGCCTCCAGAGTAGCTGGGATTACAGATGCCCACTACCGCGCCCAACTAATTTTTGTAATTTTAGTAGAGATGGGGTTTTACCATGTTGGCCAGAGGCTGGTCTCAAACTGCTGACCTTGAGTGATCCACCTGCCTGAGCCTCCCAAAGTGCTGGGATTACAGACATGAGCCACCATGCCCAGGCCATTTTAGAGTATTTCTTGTAGCTAAATTTTTTACTTGCATAAAATAATAATTTTCATTTTAAACATAATAGAAGGATATGAGTGAATTATACTTAAGAAAGTTAAAATTCATAGCACTATTAAATACATTAATAAGAGAAGGTTGTGACATCAGCAATATTATATATAACAGAGGTGGACAAACTGTAGCCTGTTTCTGTAAATTAAGTTTTCTTGGAACACAGCCAGACTCATTTGTTTAGGTATCACTCATGGCAGGTTTTGTGTAATAATGACAGAGTTGAATCTTTGCAACCTAGACTATATGACCCACAAGGCCTAAAATATATACTGCCTGGACCTTTACAGGAAAAGTTTGCCAACCCCTACTCTGGAGTCTGTATTTTTCTCCTAACTTTGAGTTGGGCATGTTCCCTTAGAATGCCAGAAATTTAGCAAACACATCTGAGGTTTTTTTCATAAATGGCGCCCTTGTCTAACATGGTTTTCCTCAAATCCCTGCAGGTTCCAACCAAGAAGCTGAAGAAATATGAGAAAGAATATCAGACAATGCGAGAGAGTCAGCTGCAACAGGAAGACCCAATGGATAGATACAAGGTATGAGAAATATGTTGCACCTATCAACGTACCTTCTTTTTTATTTTAAATGAGACTGAGTCTTGCTGTGTTGCCCAGGCTGATCTTGAACACCTGGCCTCGAGCAATCCTCCCACTTCAGTCTCCTAAGTAACTGGGATTACAAGCACGAGCCACCATTCCCAGTAAAGTACCTTTTTTTTTTCTTTTTTTTTTTTTTTTTACTTAAAGCAGCAGTTGTGGCAAGTTCAATTCCCTCTGTTCCTCCTCGATTGATTTAGACACTCTCTGATCATGCTAACTGTCCAGGTATGTTTTCATTTCAGGAGACTCCCAAATAGCCAACCATAATATTTCTTTTCTTTCAGTTTGTATATTTGTAGGTAACTCCAGCTGTTGCATTTATACTGGGAATCTTCATAAGAAGCTGAGAGAAAGAGAGGGGAAAAAGAAAGTGGCTTTCTACTTTCAAAAATGAAACAAAAAGGAAAAATGGCAAAGTACTGTTTTAGCTGTGCATGGTCATATCCACAAAGACCTTTAGCAGGTGAACTGTTCCAAGACTGACACAAGGATGTTTCAAACTTGCCTCTATCTGTAGCAAATGTTAAAAATACCAACTCACTTGGAAGGAAAAATAAAAATCACAAAGGTATATTGAGCACAGTAATGGTGTTTGTTGCAACATTTATTTCCACAAATGAATTTTTGAACAACAGTGATATTTGACTTATAGTATGAAGTTTCAGAATCAAAATAATTTCATTTTAATATGTTCGTTAATTGTGAATCTCAATGGTAATTAGCAACACTTCCCAGGATGCAATGTTGGGAAACACTTATTTCCAACTTATTTTTTTCCAAGTAAAATATTGTCTCTTTTCAACATGCTTTAATTTTTCAGACTCATACAGATACATAATAGCTCCTTCTCCCTCCACATCAATACACTAAGATAAAAGAATACTGTATTTTCAGCACTAAGCAGCAGTGCCGAAATGTCCTGCCAATAAATGGACTGTGTGGCATTATTAATTAAATCACCCACATTGGGATGACTTCCACTTTTGTAACTAGAGTTATCTTTATGTGGTCAGAGCTGGACATAGGCAGCATAGTCACACAGAATATCTTATCTCTGTTGCTGAATTGAATAGCACGTGATGTGTACAGAGGAACATGGTAGGAGTATGTAGATTTTGTAGTCAGACAGACCTGAACTCAAATCTTGCTCATTTTTTTAGAGCACAGGATTTGGGCTCCATATTGAGGGTTTTAATCCCTATGCCACCATTCAGCATCTTGGACTAGTTATTGAACCTCTTCCTTATCTGTAAAAGATATAGTGTATCTGCTTCCTTGGTGGATTATTACAAGGATGAGGGATGCTGTATGTTAGGGACTCAGCTCATAGTTGCATTCAATAAATGGCTGTTATTTTATGACGCCTACTACTACAAATTATGCAATTATTACTAGAATAATGCCAACTTATGTGGGTCTTCCCCTCTAGTCCCTTATTGATTGTTCTCATTTCTCTCAAGTATTGCCAACTAATAATCTCCCTTGCTTATAAAAGTGGTTCAAGATCTGATGATAAAATCCCACATACTTCTATAGCAGGTAACTATTAACAGATAAGGTGTTTACAGATAATATTTGAAGCTAATTTTCACCACCAACATCCCCTCAATAAAACCAACTTTTAATGTAAATCACATGGCATGCTGCTTTAGAAAGGCTGGAAGGTAGTAATTATAAACTATTATTAAGCATCCAAAATGAAGCTCTCCTTTTGCTAACATCATTCTGATTTTCTTATTACTACCATTGTTGTGAATAAATTCTGTGAAGAATGCTTTAAAATAAGAGAGAAATGGAAGACTAAATTTGTACATTTAAAATCAGACTGGAATTGAACTTGTTACTGTGTCTTAAATCATTTTTTGTGCCAAAGCAGGTATGTATACATTAATAGTAAGATGTACATTATTTTTAAATTACTTATAACATGTAAGATTATCAGTGTGTATAGTTTTTATTGAGAGATCAAAGTAGGATTAAACTTTTTGTTTTGAAAGCAGGCATTACTTTTTAAGTTCAAGTATTGTTGCTTCTTATTTGCACTTATCTAATACCCTCTATCGCTATTTCTTTTAGATTATTGTAACTTGTCAGTACATTCATCTAATGTCTCTATACTCTTTTAATAATGTCTAGGCATTTGTCCTGGTAATACACTTGGCAAATTCATAGTTCTTAGATTATAATTACACCTTCAAGGTGGCAGTCAACAATATAAGTTTCTAACCATCAACATATTTGATTTTTAAGATGATCAATATGTAGTTTAAGAAGCCATATTATAATTAATTAAAGTAGCAAAGTTAGAAAATACCTTTTACATCTTCTAAATTTAATCCTGTGAAGAATAAGATCTCTGTCCTGGGAATGAGCACTTTATAATTCATAGATCTTGGACTGGGAACCTAGTTAGTGTAAACTCTTAAAGACTGACTTGGGAACATCTTTGAGGGCATTGAGTGAGAACTTGCACCAGTTCAGTGACAACCCCTCCTCAACATTAGAATCTGTATTGCTTGAAAAGTCATTTCCACACCCTAGCTTGGCATATGACAAGAGAGTTAGGAAGGTTGTGGGAATTTATTTTTTAAAGCCCACATATGTTATATAATAAGATATTTTAAGAGGTATTTCAGTTCAATGCTATTTCTCTTAGACATGGTGGCATATGTAAAAGGGCTATCACAGGGAACCTGGAGGTGGGATTAAAGATCCAACAATGTAGATGTAGCTCTCAACAGTCATATTTCTTGCTATATCTATGTAAACATGTGTTTGATGTCTATTTTTATGACATATGTAAATAACTTCATGCTCAGGTTATATCACTATAGTCACCTTTATTCAACACTTAAATCTCAACCACAAAGAAAGAGATGAAATAATGTTAGTATAAATTTAAATTTTAAAACTCCACATATCATGAAAATCTTCTGGAATTAGGAAGTAGTGATGATTGCACAACTTTGTGAATATACTAAAATCATTACATTGCACATTTTAAAAACATGACTTTTATGGCATGTGAATTACATCTCCAAAAAAAAAGCAGAATATTCCAGGAGGATTGTCATTTAGGCTACCCTTTTCCTTTCATGAACCCTAAGTCACACCAGAGGTACTTGTTTAGAAGCTTTGCAGGAGGGAGAGCTTCCTGTTGAAATTAGAGCTAATTAGTGACTATTGATCTTATATGTGTTCATATTTGTAGAATAAAAGCCAACACAGTGGGTGGTACATTAGTTTTTAGTGAAGCCCATTAATTTCCAGATAGAACATATGTTGTACATTGTATGTATACACACAGATATAAACATATATACGTAGGTCATACACACATATACATGCACTGCCTGTGCTACCTGGGCTTGGCATCAGTTTATATTTTAAACTCAGTGAACACCATAATGACTGCTTTATAGCCTTTATTCTTTCTGTTTCTCTTCATGACTAGATTCCAGGAGACAGAAAGGAAACTTTTTTGGAAGAACAATGTAGAATATTTATTTCAAATCTCTTTTATCTTCCTTCTTAACTTGGACCTGACCAGATTTGTGTAAAATTCTTTATCTACTCTAATATTTTGGTTTGTAAATTTAGTGATTGATTTCTAATAAGCTGAAATTAGGATAAAGATTTGGCTGTAGAAATAAGCATGTTTTCATTTTTATACAGGTTCCCCAGAAAACACACATTCATCAATATGTGTAGCTGTTTTTAGTGTATTTTAGAAACTACTAACTAAGCCCTTAATAAGCAAAGTTACCAATTTCAGAAATTAAATTTTTTTTTTTTTTTTTTTGAGATGGAGTCTTGCTCTGTCGCCCAGGCTGGAGTGCAGTGGCGCAATCTTGGCTCACTGCAAGCTCCGCCTCCTGGGTTCATGCCATTCTCCTGCCTGAGCCTCCCCTGTGCTGGGACTACAGGCGCCCGCCACCGCACCCGGCTAATTTTTTGTATTTTTAGTAGAGACGGGGTTTCACCGTGTTAGCCAGGATAGTCTTGATCTCCTGACCTCGTGATCCGCCCGTCTCGGCCTCCCAAAGTGCTGGGATTACAGGCGTGAGCCACCGCGCCTGGCCTTAAAATATTTTCTATCTTAAAGAGATGAATCGTTTCTATTGTGAGGAAAGTTTTCTAGTGGTGGTATCAGTTGATGGTACTTTTTGGAGATCTGTAGCCTTCATCTGCCTTTGGAGAATGATATACTTTTCTGGTTTAATTAAAGAACTATTTGCACAAATGTGAGCTAAGCCTTAAAAAACACAGCTAATTGATCGGGCATGGTGGCTCTCGCCTGTAATGCCAGCACTTTGGGAGGCTGAGGTGGGTGGATCACTTGAGGTCAGGAGTTCCAGACCAGCGTGGCCAATACAGTGAAACCCCATTTCTACTAAAAAATACAAAAATTAGCTGAGTGTGCTGGCAGGCACCGGTAGTCCCAGCTACTCGAGAGGCTGAGGCATGAGAATCGCTTGAGCCTGGGAGGGGGAGGTTGCAGTGAGCCAAGATCATGCCACTGCACTCCAGCGTGGGCAACAGAGCCAGACTCTGTCTCAAAAAAAAAAAAAAAAAAAAAAAAAAAATGGCTGGGCGCGGTGGCTCACGCCTGTAATCCCAGCACTTTGGGAGGCGGAGGCAGGCAGATCACGAGGTCAGGAGATCGAGACCATCCTGGCTAACACGGTGAAACCCCGTTTCTACTAAAAAAAAAAAAAAAAAAAAAAAAATTAGCCGGGCGTGGTGGCTGGCACCTGTAGTCCCAGCTACTTGGGAGGCTGAGGCAGGAGAATGGCGTGAACCTGAGAGGCGGAGCTCACTTTGAGCCGAGATCATGCCACTGCACTCCAGCCTGGGCGACAGAGTGAGACTCCATCTCAAAAATAAATAAATACACACACAAACACACACACACACACACACACACAGCTAATTAA